ACTATTGAAAAAGTTCAGTCCCAGGTCTTCATATCCCCTTTAATTCTCTCTGTCAATTATGCTGCAGCCGAGAGTTCAAATAAAGGTCTTGAGATCCGGGCTTGGAGCTACCTTTTTGAAACGAAGCCTCCTATAAATATACAGATTATATCAGGAGCTTCCAATTTCTTGTTCTGGTTATTTTTGATGGGTTAGATGTAGTGACTAGTCCCTGGGGTATAACTTACTATATAGGCTGATTTCAAGCAAATATTACAAATGCAATCTGTTCCATAGTTTATCGTTCTGGAAATAATGTGATATCACGTGCACATGTATTTCCCCTCCACAATCCCTCTGGTGCATAATGAGGTTGGTGGGGAAAAGACCACTTACTTAGCCCATTTCCTTGCACATAGTAAGCTTTTTTTCTTTGCTTAATCCAGTATAAACAACACTATTTAGCATGGAAGTTCTGGTCACAGACTTAGATTTTGAAAGGTAACTTCTAAATAATAAAATAAAATTAGAAATACTACTAACTCTATTCAAATCCTATATAGGATTCCATGAATGATTGGCTCAGTTAAGGTTTCTGTCGGTTGTATAGTTAGATGCCATTATTTACCCCTGTTCTATGGTTGAGGAGATCAAAGCACAAAGAAATCAAATGTTTTGTTTATGATCTCATAGCTGGAAAGTGGGGAGCAAGAATTTAAACCTAGGCAATGGGGATCCACAGTTTTCTCTCTAAGACTAACTCCATGTCCTCAGGAACTATTCTTCAAACCTTTCTGGGAACATAAGATTTACCAAAAGGAGTAACTGATCAGCCAAACCAGGCTTGTGTAACTGGATGCCAAGAGGTTGTTTAAAGAAGGCAAGAAAATGGGAGGTTTACAGACAGCAGGAAAAGGAGAGAACGGATAAGACATGAATCAAGTATGGAAGGACAGGATTTACATGAGTGGAAAAGAGAGGAAGAGGTCAAGTTGGGAGGAGGGCCTTTCATAGACCAAGAGACTAATCATGCTTGATTGGAAGTTAGTGGATGAGATAAGTTAGAGAGCACATTGAGCAGCACAGGCAGAGATCCCAAACCACATGATGGAAATAAGAAAGAAGATGCATTTCCTTTCAAAATTTTGTCTAGAGATACATGATCCTTGCCTGCCCAGTTTCATCTGCCATCTTTACATGAGGGTTGGGTACCAGGCTGGGTTCCTCCTTCTTGGGTAACACAATAGGACAGTATAGTGGCTAAGTCTCACTAACCACTTTCTGCCTGTTGGACCTTGAGAAGGAAATTTTCTTTCTCTGCTGAAGTTTTCTCATTTGAAAAAAGGTGTAATACTGTTAGTGGTATAATTGAAAAATGTTTTGAACATTGCTTGGCACTCTTCCTGCCATGTGCTCCTGCCTTGATGTGTTGCTTTGCCACAGGGCCAAAGCAGTTGATGATTAGGGCCAACTGATTATCAACTAGAACCTCCAAAACCCTGTTTTTTTTTCTTTTAAAGTTGATTATTTCAGGCATTTTGTTATAGAAATGGAAAGCTGATTAACATGGATTATTTACTTGAGATAAATGAGGGTTTTAATTTCCTCCACCTGGAATTACTACAGCTGATAGGGAGAACCAGGCATAGATACTGCAGATAAAGACAAGACAGATTACCCCACAATGTAAAGAGCTTAGAGCAGGCCTCACTGTGAATAGGTGGGATGGGAAGCAGTGTAGGGTAAGTGATAAGATATCACTCAACCTGTAATGGAGGTGAAGGCTTATCCTATGCCTGCCTTGTTTTCTCCATTCCTGAAGAAGAGATAAACTCAGATTTTGATCAAGAATACACTGTGGGCCATGGAACAGGCAAGGATGCTTGAGCATTCTATGCAGCCTTTCTCTAAGAAACCCTATCCAAGATCATTTCAATCCTATTAAAATGCAACCACATCTCCTATTTCATATCATTATGAATAATCATGCGAGTTAAGTTGTATTCTAGTAACTGACAAAATGTTACATTTGTGTAGCTATTTAATTCAGTATTCATTCACTTTAATTTCCAGTTTTTCCTATTTTGGAGACACTGTACTTATTTTTATGCATGTAAGTCTTAGGCCCTGAGCTTTATAGTGCTGAATGTATGAAATGGGCTTGGCAGTGTTGGTTTGGGAGCAGATGATTTGGTCAAAACAAAATTTAAAAAATGATTGAAGCAATGATTTTGTTTATCACTGGTTTTCTTTTTGAAATTTGGCCCAGAACTTCTGTGGCTGGAATTTCTTATGCATGGGAGGGGAAAAGAGGTTACTTTTGTTACTTCTTTGGGGATTGTCTTTACTCTTAGCTGATATGTTAAGATTGTCTTTGGCTTCCCCTTACTGTGGAGGTGAGATCCTATTTCCAAATTCATTACAGGATCAGGATAAAGCTCAATCAAGAAACCTGGTGTGTGGGGGGGAAAGAATCCTGGAAATGGGTGCTGATACTCAGGTGGGGAAAATAGATTCTGGAAATATCCCAAGTAGCTTAGTCTAGTTAGTTGGAAGGTGGAGGAATCTGTTCTTCAGTGGGGTTAGTGAGGGATTATGGGGAGGGGAATAGTTGGAGATCTAGCACTTTGGACCTTATCATCTATGTGATGCTGAGCAAATGATTTTACCTTTGAGAAACTCAATGGCCCCATCCATAATAAGGATCTAATTGTTATTGTGATAAAAGTTCTATGAAATGCTCATTGTAGTGTTTGATATACAGATAAATAAACATATCAGGGGGAAGTAAAATAGTGTTGAGGCATCTCAAAGCTGGGAACAAAAGATGCTATTGCTTCATCTTCTAGAAGTCAGAGAAGTCAAAGAAACCCCTGCTATAATATTGCCCAGCACTGACTGTATGTAGGCTTTGCATAGCACAGCCTCCAATAAAACTGTGACAACTTTCTACCCTTGACTAAAAATGAAGAAGAATGGGACAAAGATGGGAAGTTACTCTAGAGTCTAAGTTTCATGGAGACTGTTAAAGTTAGCCTTCTCTCTCCTACCTAACTGGGGCTCCTGCAGGAAGAGGGATCCAGGAGCTCATTTTCCTTAATGACTGTTTGCTAAGTTTAAGACACACCCCTAGGATCTAGAGGTTTGGAGGCAGAAATGATGCAGAACCTTAGAAAGGAGAAAAGACAACCTATTACCCTAGGTTCTTGAGGAACAATGGGAAATCCCACCTGCTTCCATAGGCCTCGAGTTTGGGAGGATGAAGTTAATAACATTGGAGATCATCAAGTAGAGACTAATGGGGGATATTAGAGAATACAGGCTGGAGTCACACTGGAGATGTTTCTCAGTGTCTCAGAGATCATCTGCATAGGGCCGGGGCTATAGCCATTAGCACCTACTATCCCAGGTGAGTACACAGGCCAAGAGTGGACAGGCAGTGAGATACAAACAATAAATTTCACTATATAAGTGTGTCCTCATATTCTGCTCTCCCACAGACTGCTCTGTCACCCACCAACTCCCATGTTAGCTCAAGACAGGGAGAGAGAGAAGCAGCCCAGGAGTATGGAAATGAAGTATCAGTGGTAGGAATGCACCTTCCTTTCCTGTTTCAGTGACCCTTGCAACTGCTTAATGGAGGATTCAGGGATGGCAGGTGACAATCTCTGCATGGCATTGAAGGTTTGCCTGAGAGGAAATTGCTGGGCCAGTATGAATTCTTGGAATGACTAAGATACTGCTAAATGGTGATTTTACAATTTTAAGGTGTCACCAACTCCAGTCTTCCACTAGTATGTGATTGGTGCTGACGGTACTTGAAGGAGCAGTTGCAGTTATTAGAAAAAATGAAAAGTCTCACTTGGAATTTTCTTGAGTAGATGATATTTAGTTATAGGTATTTAGTAAGAAGTCATTAAATTTTACTTGTAATTTTATGATTGTTATTGTTGAGTACCTAGTATTTGTCAGGAACTTACACACTCAGAATACAGAAAGGGGGACAGAGTTTCTGCTTTACTGAGCAGCTAACAAGTGGAGGTCATTAGCATATAAGCAAAAGATTATAAAAGAAGGGAAAATAATTTGGTAGAGGTAAGTAAGGGATTCTATAGGTACATAAACCAAAAGTGGGAAACTAAACCTGTGGGGTGTGTGCATGTGCACATGCATAGCAGTATAAATATTTAATGATGATCCTCTAGAGAGAAAAGTAATGTTTGTAGTATTGGCCAAGTTCTGTGGTATAAATACTCTTACCACAGCTATTAATAGGGTGCTACAAAATGAGGAGTTGAGAAGAAATGTGCTCAATCAGCTCTAGTGAACTACCTCTAGCTAACTCTGGCACATCGGTGCATGTGCGTGCGCGTGCGTGCATGCTAGAGAAGGTTTTCTGAGAGTGGAGCCCTTGACCTGAATCTAAAAGGATGAGTAAAAATTTACTAGGCAGGAAAGGTTGGAGAGGTATCCCAGGCAGGAGGACAGCATAAGCAAAGGAAGGAGGCCTAAAACAGCATGATTTATAAAGACATGAGGAGAGGAGTATCCAGAACACTTTATGGTGCTTACTGGTGGTCAGCATGTGCTCAATCATGTTCTTTTTTGTGGTAAGTGACATATATGTAAACTTACATAAATTACTTTCATGTTTAAATCTATTCATTTTATTGATTCATCAATCATTTGTCAAACACAACAAGCATTTATGAGAGTCTACTTTGTGTTTACTAGGAGCTAAATATTTTAAGATGAGTCAAACATCATCCTTGTCCTGAACACACTCATAGTGCAGTTAAGGGCAGAACATTAACAGATATGTTTAACACAGCCTGGTGAGTGTACTAATTTAAATATGCATATATTATTGGAGATGGTGATAAGTTGAATGAGGGACCCTAAAGATCCTAGGACCTGTGCCTAAGTTCCTTTTTTTTTTTTCTCCATTGAGGCATTTTATATGTCTGTATGTTTTTGATCCCTAGAACAAGAATCCCAGGATTTTCCCCTCCCGTGTGTCTTCATCTTGCTTCTTCATGGTCCATGATACCAGCTAAAATTGTCAGTCCAATGGATCCGAACTGATGGAATGGGAGCAGATGATTCTGCCATTTTTCTAGGTTTTTGATTTGCATATCAAATCTGGGGCTGATCCCTCCACACTTATTTAACTTGCCTGTAAGGTTCACAGCAGTTTTCCCAGCTTTGTGATCATCAGTGATTTTAAATTTGCCAATGTGACTATGTTTCCTCCTCATAGTTAGAAACCAGACGATGGCTTTGGAGCACTCCCTGATAAGGAGCTTGCATTTTGCCTCTCTTTTCAGCATCATTGATGCTCTTGAAAGCATTAGCCAGGACATTCATGCACAGAAAGATGGCACCTATGTTATTTTAAATGGCAAAAAGGACTTTGCAGGTGTGATTACATTAAGGACAGTGAAATCATTGTCCTTAATGAAATGGGTGGTTAACCTGGGTTGCCCAGGTGGGCTCTCAATGTAGTCACAATAGTCCATAAGAGGGAGAATCAAGAGGTAAGGAGAGAGGGAGAGAATATACTATGCTTCTGGCTTTGAAGATGGAGGAAGGAGCCACAAGCCAAGAAATGTTGCAGACTCTCCCATCTGGAAAAGGCAAGAAGACAGATTTTCCCCTGGAGCCCCCAGAAGGACACCTTGATTTTAGCTCAGTGAAACTGATTTCCAACTTCTGACCTCCAGTCTGTCAGCTAACATATTTGTGTTGCTTAAAGCCATCAAATTTATGGCAATTTATTACAGCAACTGTAGGAAACCCAACGAAATTATTGACCCAAAGAGAGGTGGTGACAGGGATTAAGAATCTTGATTTGTGAGTCAGATCACCTCTCACCATCGTGGTCTATCTCTTCACAGTTCTATAATTTTGGGCATCTTACTGACTCACGTCTTCATCTTTGCGGTGAGATAATTTTACCTACTTCATGGATTTAGAGTGTAGAACTTTGAAATTATATACATACTGTACTGATTATGTCGTGAGCCACCTTTAAATGTTAGCTACATTTGCCTTTTAGACTATTATTAAATTTCTTCCTCATCTCTGCGCCCTGATCCAGAGACCCGTCTCTCATGTTGGTGAGTATAGCTGAACATGTTGAGGACTAACTAGATTTCTGTGGCCCCAGGTGGATAAGTGGCTGCCATTTCCATGTTTTATTTTTATGGGCACATATGATCTCGACTGGAAAAACCCACTCCTTGATGAGTTTCGGAGCTGCAGATTTTATTTCTAAATTCTGTCTCTTGACAATAAACTATCACATTTGATCAAGCCAATAAAAGGGTTAAGAGCTTTGTGTCTTTCCCACTTCCCTGTCCCCCTACCCGCCCCCCCCCCAATAAAATCCTCTTTTGTACACCCTCTCTCAGGCCGGGTGTTATTCTCTGTGCCACGATTTGGAGTCGGCCTGTCTGTCCCTTCCGGAGCAGGAGCAGCTGAACAGCTGTGAAAACAATGGAGGAGCCTAGGAGCTGTGATTAGTGGGGGACGCTGGGGCAGTCTGGGAGCCACCAGGCCCGTTTCCCATGTCAGAGCACAGCCAGTGGAATCTGGGTATCACATGGCCTTCCAGCCTCTGTGGGCCTGCTCCTGGGCTGGGGCTCCCACTACTCACCCTACTGCTGCTCCCTTCAGAAACAGGTTTTTGTTTTCTTTCTCTTCTTCCTTCCATGTCCTGGGACCATTGCATAAACATAGTGTTGCTAGGCAGCCTTAAAGCCTCCTTTCATCCTGGATCCCAGGAAATTCAGTCCAGGCAGATTCAGGGGAGTGTACTTACAGCTGGCTTTGTCCAGCGGGCCAGCTCTCTCTCCTCTTTGGCTCCAGGATTCCCCACCAGAAATTCCCAGCCTCTGTCTCGTGCATCGATTTGCTAGATGCAGATAATATTTAGGCAGGTTTAGAAATCCCTCTTCCCTCTTTCAGGTCCCTCCTTCTGGGTGCGATGAATACAAAACACCTAACTTAATCATAGCCTTTTGCAAATCAATCCTAGGTTACTGGAAAGCAAAGAATTTTGCTTAGTGCTCCCCAGAAATACTCAGTGACCTCCTGACTATGCTCTCAATTTCACCCAAGTTTTTCTTTTGGTCCAGAGCTCACCTGTGATGGGTTTTTAAAATTATTTTTTTAAAGAATACTCAGGTTTTTTGTATATTTGTGGAAGTATGCAAACATAACCAGAATCCAATTTCATGTATTTATTTGATAAAAATATTCACTTATTTTTAATTGACAAGTAATGCTTGTGCGTTTTGGGGGGCACAGTAATGAACCTAATGAACATAACTCGTCCTCTCCCTCACTAACCATCTCTGGTGGTCACGGCTTCCAAGTGTTTACTCTCTCCAGGATTTTTTCCTTTTGACAGCGTGATGGTGACAGCTTTTTGTGGGCCCTCTTTTTTCCTTGCTGATCCTAGCTAGTTGACAGCAGTGTCGTGTTTGTCTCTGCCTCCAGTGGCAGGAGCACTGAGACGGGTGTGTGTGCTCCCGCGAGCCTTTGTAGGGTGAAGAAATGACATCACGGGAATGCACTTACTCCTAATTTGTGTTTTTCTCCTCTTTGAAACATCATTAAAAAAAAAAATTTGGCTACCATCCTGATTTAGGACTGATATTTTCTCCTCTTGACTGAGTTATCACTGTAATTATACTTAGTTCCCATTTGATCAAAAAAATCTACATACATTAAAATGTTGATCGATACTATATTAAATATAAAAATAGAATTTTATTGAAAAGGCCTCTCAATGAGATGAATGAGATTTTGTCATGTAGTTCATGTAGCTATGAATAAATAAAAAAAAATAACAATTAAATGCCACTTATTTGCAGAATGACAAGAGGCTTTTACATTACTTCCATTCCAATTTCCTGTTTTTAATAATATTTTACATTATGGAAATTTTGAAATTTTGAAATATACAGGAGGTAGAGAGAATAGTACATTGTAATTATCATTTTCTTCTTTTTATGGCTGTCTATGCATTGCATTATATAGCTGCACATGAACTGTCCAGTATATGTAATTTTTGGTAGTCAACTTGTATTGATAGTGATATAAGCATCTATCCTTATTTAACATTTTTAATTGTTATACACAAAAGGTCACTCTGACTTTTATTAGACTGTTGGAATGTTGATTATATGACTATAAGTTTGACTACATGTGTGTAGCCCGTATGGCCATACTTATTCTTGGGGGTCATGGTAGATCAATCAGAGATTTGTTTTCTGCCAAGGTTTGGCATAGTTTGAATTCCTTCTTAATATGGAGCTCCAGAAAACCAATATTAAACAACTAGAATGGGTATTGAAGCTGAAATTAACTTCACTTTTATAAAAATTATGCCTATATATATATATATATATATATATTTCTAACATATATTTTTAATTTGTTTAAATTAGTTATACATGACAGTAGAATGCATTTATGCACTTTGATATATCATATCATATATAGATGGGATATAATTTCTCATTTTTCTGAGTGTACGTGGTGCAGAGTCATATTGGTCATGTAGTCACATATATACATACAATAATAATGTCTGTTTCATTCTACTATCTTTCCTATCCCCAAATCCACTCCCCTTCCCTCCCATCATTTCCATCTACCTAATCTAAGGTAACGCTATTCTTCCCTAGTGCCCCCTGCCTTATTGTGAATTAGCATCCACATATTAGAGAAAACATTCAGCCTGTTTTGTTGGATTGGCTTATTTCGCTTAGTGTGATATTCTCCAACTCTAACCGTTTACTGGCAAATTCCATTATTTTACTCTTCTTTAAAGCTGAGTAATATTCCATTGAGTATACATACCACATTTCTTTATCCATTCAAAATATTTTTAAATAGTAATGTCTTTCTTATTTTTTGTCAATATGGTACATGCTAAGTATATCAATCAGTAGTGAAAAGTTCATAGAAAAAAGTAAAATCTCATTCAGAGAGTGTTGAGAGTTTCAGAGAGTGTTGTTTTGTGCACTTTCTTTGCCAACAGAGACAGAGATAAGTACATACACCCAGGTCTCCATATCCACAGGTTTGGTGTCTGCAGTTTCAACCAACCTCAGGTTGAAAATACTTAAAAAGAAATTTTGTCCTTCCCCCTTCAAGCATTATTCCCTAAACAAATATAGCATAACAACTATTTACATAGAATTTACATTGTATTAAGTATTATAAGTAGTCTAGAGATGATTCAAAGTATGCAGGAAGATATGTGTAGGTGAATACTATGTTAATACTATGTCATTTTACACAAGGGGCTTGAGCATTCTGAATTTTGGTATCTATGAGAGGTTCTGGAATCATCTCCTGTAGTTACTGAGGAATAACCGTAATTGTATAGAAATGGGATTTTTGTGTACCTACCACTTAAAATAAAATGTCTACAGTATTTATTTTTTCTTGAATCTAATGGAAGAAAACATCAGAAGGAATTGCTGAACCTAAGACTGTTCTTTACAAGAAGAGATATTCATTCTTAAAAGGTACTTCAAAAGTTAAGTAAAACATGAAATACAATAAGGGATGAGTGAAAAATTACATGCTTCAAAGTGGCCAGTATTTGTTAATACCTTTTTTAAAAATATGAGAATATCAGGTAATCTATGCTTTCCATCCTCTCCTTATATTTCCAATTTTTCCTTAATAAAATTATTTTGCCTTGTTGCAATCTATACGATTCATATTATATTCCACAGCTGCCATCTCCACAGTTGTTTAAGCTGACTTCAACATTTGAGTCCATGTGGCGCTCACTACCAGCTTTTTGAATGGCTTTTCCATTGAAGAGCTCTTTTATTTTGAAGCATTAGCGGCTTGCTGTGTTTTGTTATCAGGTACCTTTCTCAATAAAGGCTTATAGGTTTTAAATGTGCTTGAGAAGGTTCTCAAGAATGTTCTCATCTTTATACTTGAAGGAAAGATAATTAAATTGTACTTTTGATTTCATGATCCAGACAGCAGCAAACGGGTGGTACTGTTGCTCTGATGACCCACGAGTGGTCCACCTAAGCCCCCAGTGTTTCGATATTCCTTGCCATCCTGCCCAGGGTTTGAAGGGGACGGAGGAGCCTTTTGCTCTAGCCTTTTGCTCTCAGTGAGCATTGGCTGCTCTAGGAGGCCCCCTTCCTGTTCTCTTTGACACTCTCCAGCCCTTTGCTGCTCTTGGCCCAGGTAAGTCTTTTTCCTCTCTTCACTTTGTGGATCACAAGGTTCTGTTCTTAGTCTATCAACTGTGAGATTTGATTTCTTTAGCATTTGCTCTAGAAAGATCTTGTTTCTCACAGAATTTCCTCTTTCCTAC